AAGCTGAACATTTGTTTGTTTGTTTTCAATAACAGGTCAGTATAGGAGTTCAAACTATGAGTAAAAATGTCAGCTCTCCTTACTTAAAATTATTAATAGGAATTTAATTTTAAATTTACTTGCTTAATTAGTAACTCTTTAAATATTATTACAGTTTAAATTACATCAAAAAGAATAAAATACTTAGGAATACATTTAACCAAGGAGGTGAAAGACCTATACACTGAAATCTGTAAGACAATGATGAAAGAAATTGAAGAAATTGACGGAAGAAATTGCCATGTCTATTGATATACCATCTCTTATTTAAAATCATTTTATGGTGTCTGTTCCCAGTGATTCTCAGTTCTTCCCTTTTTCCTTTCTCTAATTTTTTTGCTTTTTTTGGTTATAGTTCTATCACATATTTTTGTTATACTTAGTGATTTCATAAATGTAGTCTTGTTAGTGTTAATTAATTAATTAATTAAATTAGTGTTAAAATGACTTTTTCTATAAATATTTTGAACTGACTCATCTATATACAAAGTTAAAGTGAATATTCATAGTGACACACTACCCCACTTCTCCCTCCTCATCTCCTCAATCCAGGGAAGGAACGCTGTCTGCAGTTGATGAAGATTCTTCCAAAAAGATTATAATTTAACCACAAATATTGTGCAAAGTCTCTCTTAACTCCCCTCTGCTTGCCTTCCTGCTGAGCAAATTTTTTCTGAATTCCCCTCTCAGAATTTGTTACCATGGATCACGTAGGATCTCTGTCAGTGGGGTCAGTGCTTCCACGTCCAACAGCGTCCACTGAGGAAGTAACAGTGGCCCTGAGTCTTTCTTCTTCTTCCCAGCCCTTGACATAATAACATTCCTTTCCTCACACATCACACCAAAGCTGTGATGGTCAGCCAGTGCTCAGCCCACAGGTGAAAGGACAAGGGAAGGATCAGGGAAATTAAGGGGCACGTGAAAGGAATGGAGTCAATTGTGGGATTTTAGGGGGTCAGAGGTGGTCATAGAATTAATTGCTGCCATCTCTTTTATCAGTGGCTGTCCTTGGCCCAATATATCACCCTGGGTTTGGGAATTATATTGTGGATTTGGAAATTATTGTGCTGCCTGGACACCATAACTGGGTCTTTGAGAAAAGAAAGGAGCAGATGGAGGATGTGTAAGTGAGGAAGGTGAATATTCAGATATCTGATACTCTACCAACCTTCAGAAGTCAGGCTGGTTTCTAACTCTCTTATATGGTGACACTTCACAATTGATGACTGTAATTGGGTATCTACTCAACAGACTATATATCCCTGGCTTAGCTCAATGAAAACCGCTTTGTAGTCCTGGAGGTCCCTTCCAAGCCTGAGAAATTCTGCTCTCTCCCATTTAGCATATTTCTAATGCTAGGAACTCTAGTACCCAGTAGGAAATGGAATCACTCTCTGTAATAGAAATTGACCTGATGATACACATTCATTCTTCTTGTGTGTGACTTCACCTTATAAAAGAATCTCCCTGGGGCACCTGGGTGGCTCAGTCAGTTGTCTGCCTTCAGCTCAGGTCATGATCCCAGGGTCTCTGGATCGAGCCCTACATCAGGCTCCCTGCTCTGTGGGAAGCCTGCTTCTCCCTCTCCCACTCCACCTGCTTGTGTTCCCTCTCTCGCTGTGTCTCTCTCTCTCTCTCTCTGTCAAATAAATAAATAAATAAAATCTAAAAATAAAACAAATAAATAAATAAATAAAAGAATCCCCTATCTCCAGGAGACCTATCTAGGATGGGATCTTGCTGCTTCAAGAAGTAAGATTTTCTTCCTTCCTTTACCTGGGTTAGAGGTTTCATTCTCCACCCTGAACTTTCTCTTGGACCTGCAATGAGCCTTTCAGGAAACATAGGCTGCAATTAACCATCCACAGAGTGCTTTCCTATTCATAACCACCTTCAGAGTCTTATATTACTGCACTAATAGCAATAATGATTTTCAGACCCTTCCAGGTATTGTTTTAAAAACTCTATATATTTTTGGGATGGGTTAGCCTGGTGATGATGGGTATTAAAGAGGGCACGTTCTGCGTAGAGCACTGGGTGTTATGCACAAACAATGAATCATGGAACACTACATCAAAAACTAATGATGTAATGTATGGTGATTAACATAACAATAAAAAATTTAAAGAAAGAAAGAAAAAAGAAAAAAAACTCTATATATTTTCACTCATTTAATCTTCATTCTTACTTTGCAATCCTTGAACAGCCAAGACACTCAAACCATGTCATTTCAAAAGCACTTAGGCAACTTGCTATCAACACAAATGCTTAGGCTCTTTCTTACCTCAGTGACCGAAGGGCTTCTGTGTTCTTATTTCTCCAGTGATTCTGATGTACCCCTAAGGTTTGAGAACACCTGCACTAGAAGGAAATGCCAAAATTAAAGAACTATCTAGTGTAAGACACAACCATTTGAGATCTGCCTCAGACGTAAAGTCACACAACAGAGAACACCATGTCCCCTGCTTATCAGGTATTGAGGAGGGAAACAAGCACTCCCCCCACAAAGAGATTCAGCAACACATTCTAACTCTCCTCTAAAATTGCAGAGCTTTGTTCATATAAGGACACATTTAAGCAAGTTTTCTTGATCTTCCTTGCTCGTCTTGTTATGGAATAGAAACCTTAATATCCTGGGTATACTTCACATGATTATATTTTAGGTTTTCACCAGATGTGTCCTGTCTGAGGTTGGGTTTTGTAGAAGCAGAAGCTGGCACAAGGTTCAATGACACGTGATTTATTGAGGAGAAATTATCAGGAAAAATTGACCTTTGTCAAGGAACAAGAATGAGGCAAGGAAAGGAGTCACACAAGGGTGTGGCCTCATCTGGAATCAACATCAGTCTGATCTCACACACAGCTCTAGAGTGTAAATGGTGCCACGGGTGGTCCTAGTTTGAGACATAGGAACACTCCTTTTGTTACACCAGGTCAAGCAGTGTTTAAATACTTCCTAGCTAAACTGCTTCTATATTTACTTTTCTAAAATATTGGACTTACCTATAACTGCAGAAAGCCATATATGAGACATTTTACTTTGTGTTATTTCTGAGCATTAATTTCTTCTTCTGTTGAGGAGTCTGGATTGCAGAGCTATGAGCATTCTAGAAATCAATCTATCAGTGAATTAAAATGCTGACATTTTTTACAAAAAAAAAAACCCCTACAGTTCTATATTGAAATTTCTACAGTCTGCCTCATTTGGATGTTTAGTAGATTCAAAATATGCTCAAAAGTGAGATCCTAGGGCGCCTGGGTGGCTCAGTTGGTTAAGCGACTGCCTTCGGCTCAGGTCATGATCCTGGAGTCCCAGGATCGAGTCCCACATCAGGCTCCCTGCTCAGTGAGGAGCCTGCTTCTCCCTCTAACCCTCCCCCCTCTCATGTACTCTTTCTCTCTCTCTCATTCTCACTCTCTCAAAATAAATAAATAAACCTTTAAAAAAAAAAAAAAGTGAGATCCTAATGTTTCCAAGCTCTTCCATCTGCACAACCACCACCCCTTCCCATCTCAGTTAAGGACAAATCCATCCTTCCAGCTGGGACACAACCCTTGAGTCATCCTTGACTAAGAGTGACATATAAGCTGACCAGTGGAGAAGCCACATTCTTATCTAAGGACATGGAGCTGTGTAATCACAATCATGTGCAACTTCTCGTTAATAAAGATGTCATATAATGAGAACACAGGGTACCTTCTCAAAGTGAATTTTCATTGAATAAATGTTAATGCATAGCATGAGGTAATTAGTAACATCGTGCGTAATTTTGCTAGTAGACTAAAACTGGTAGGGAGTAATTTACTTTTCACAAACGGTTTTCAGAGATAATTTCAATTCCCCTGGTACATACTATCATTGCAATTATAGCAAACAGATTGAGATCAAGAAAACCCATTTATCTCTGGGCTCAGATGGTCAGTCTCTGCACATTCTCTGACCATGACCATTACAGTCACCATCCCAATAGAAAATGAAATTTGACAAATACCTCTCCTTTTCAAATAGATCTCAGGTTTCATACTACCGAGAGAAATAGGATATACCTTGGAATGTGGAGTAAGAAATACCCCGCTGATGAGATGGTGCTGCTCGCTGGGTTGGATAGGGATACAATCCGTGAGTATACAGACAGGAAAAAAATGTTTTCTGAGGGAATAGGAGACCCCGCCTTGGCCATGTGATTTCAGGCTGTCTGATAGTTCTGCCCTCCCCCCCCCTTAACCTGCACCCCGGAAGTATTTTCTCTATCGTCTCTGACCATTATCGAATTCCACAGAATTGACTCTCAAAACTTCAGTCTCCCTGGAACTGAAGAGTAGCAAAGACGGTGCTTATTAGGTCTAATCTTGGAGGGGCGGACTCTCTGCTACCGCGGTCCGCCGGTCCCTCTGGGAGCCTAAACTTTGGGCACACATGAAACAATACCTCGCAGCACTTCTAATCGGAGAAGCTGTGCCCCAGAAACGCGGTGGTGCCGGTGAAGAAGGGAAGAAGCCTCGCCCCAGCCGCAGAGCGTGATGACGTCATTTACCAGAGGCCCTCAGGCAGGCGCCGCTGGTCCTTTGAGGTGCTTTCTGGAAGGATGCTCTTTGAGACGGCGGGCGAAGCGGCAGGAACCATGTTACCCAGCAGGCTCAGCGGCAAGAGGCGGTAGTGCTGGGCCAATCACAGCACAGGGCTGGGATCCCGCATCACGCGAGACCTGCGGCGCCGTGCTCGTGGAGGCTGTATTGCGTGTTCCCGGGTCTGTTCGCGAGGTCACGGCTGCGGGACCCTCAGTGGGTTTGAGGCCGCGGGGCAGGGAGGCTTGAGAAGAGGCGTCGTGTCCCCTTTGCACGGAGGCAGGGCTGAGGGTGTGTGGGGCGGGTCAGCAGAGCCCTTGGGACCCTCCCTGGCCTCCCACTCTTCGCGGCCCTCAGTCCACGCACAGGGTCCCACGGAGGCAGCAGAGGAGCAGATGGACCCGGCACAGGTGAGTGCATGACCCCTCAGGCCCTGTGGACCCCCAACCACGCAGTCCCAGCACCGCCACATCGAGGATAGTGTTGTCCTGGGTCTCGTCACTTCCCCTAACTGTGCCGTTGTGTCTGGGGGCCCGCCCTGATACGGAAGGGTTCCCAGCTCCGTCAATCAGTGAGGTGTGGAGGGGTGTCCCAGGCACAGGCACCAAGAGATGCAAATGCGGGGAGGTGAGGCTGAGCTGGACAGACTTGCAGCTCTCCGTTTCGCCTGGGGGGAACAGAGAGCACCAAGATGGGAGTCAGGTCTGGAATGACAGGCTGAGGAACTGGGCCTCTTTGAGGTTGGTGGGAGCCAGGGAGGATGTGGAGGAGAGGAGGAACGTGATTTGTGTCAAGGCTTAATAGGCTTCCTCTAGCTATAGAGTGGAGAGGAGGCAGGGACAGCAGGGAGAAGGCTCCCTGCAACCCCCACATCGTACCTGGAATTCCCCGCGTCACCTACAGCCACCCTCGCAGCCGAGGCGTGTGCCATAGGTGTGCAAAACGAGTTACAAAGCCTACAGCCTGGGTTCAGCTCCAGGCTCTGCTGCTGCACCGCAGTGGGATAGTCAGCTTCCTTGGCTGTGAAATGGGCTAATTGCAGTGTCTTCCCTCTGGAGTCCTGGTGGCAGATGTGGGAGGCAGAGTGTGAAAAACAGCACAGCACATGCAGGGAATGCCCAGTAAATACCGGTCGTGACCATTCATTTCTGTGATCTCAGGGGTCCAAGGAGGCCTTTGCCCTGGTCTTCTCCTTATGGCAGTGTGGGCGAGAGAGAAATGGGGTTTCTCGGAATCCCCCCGTCCCTGCACCGTCTGAATGAACCGAGCTTCAGGAAAGCCCACTTAACAATGTAGAGACTTCAGGGGCCATTCTGGCTATGCCCTTCCCAGGGCTGTGAGCTTGAGTAAGTCTGATCAGTGCTTTTGTCTTCCATCTCTTGGGTTCAATGGGCATATTGACATTTCCTCCCCTTGGCTTGAGGGGGTCAGAGAGGGCATGTGTGTGATGTATGTCCTCCATTGTCCAACACTGCCCAGGTAGCATCACTCTGGACACTGTTCTAAGGGAGCAGAGCCCCTTGTCCTGTGATGATCTTAGGGACTTACCCCAGGGGAATCCTGCCCTGGGGTTTCCCCTGTCTCAGGCTTGTATCCAGCCGAGGACTAGGGGAAGAGAGACCCTAGGGGCAGACTCACAGTGGGAGCAATATTTTTGGAATCACTGCTTCTCTGCTAGGATGAAAGGGGCCCTCGAGGGGCACCTGGGTGGCTCAGTTGGTTAAGCGTCTGCCTTTGGCTCAGGTCATGATCCCGGGGTCCTGGGATTGAACCCCGTGTCAGGCCCCTTGCTCAGCGGGGAACCTGCTTCTCCCTCTCCCTCTGCCTGCTGCTTCCCCTGCTTGTGCTCTCTCTTTCTCTCTGTCATACAAATAAATAAAACCTTTAAAAAGAAATAAAAGGAAAGGGCCCTCAGGCACTGGGAGCCAAGAAGGTTACTGGATTCATCTTTGTATTTGCCATCTGTTTATTACAAGTAAAGCTGGCTTGCCACTTATAAGACGTTTACTTTTATGTGAAAAGTAGATGCATTAAAGATTCAGTGGTGGCAGTGTGCATTTAGATGTAAACACACAACAGACCCCGGGTTTCTCTCCAGTACATGTCCGCCTCCCTTCATTCCAGCCACGCCAGTGCCCGCCTTCAGCAAGGTCATCCCCAGCTTTCCTTCTGAAATGACCCCATCTCTCTAATCTTGTCCCCTTTTTTCTTGGCCTCAGAACTCTTAAGGCCATCTGCATCATCTTGCTCAGTTATTTAGTCCTTGTTGGGGATGTTTCTCCATCGGGGGCTGTGATTCCTTTTTGAAGCTCTGTCGCCAGGCCTATAACAGCACCAGAGCTGTAACAGGACCTCGTTAGCTAGTTGGAGAATGAGACTCCCCTCAGTGGGCTCTCATCACACTTAGAATCTATGTTCAAACCCCCTCCCCCCATGGCCTGCTGCACCTGTCCCTGCAACTGCTCTGTGTCCACCCACGTATCTTCCTTTCCTTTCTTCCCCATCTCCCGGCCCTGCAGCTATGCCATCCTCCACTTGCCAAGCTCTTGCTCACTTGCCAGTTCCCTCTGCCCAGGACACTGTCTCTGGAACTCTGCAGGGCATCCCTGTGCATTCCTCAGGCCTCTGCTCAAATGCCACTTCTTCATCTTTCTAGTTCTAGCTAAAGTACCCCTAGTATGCGCACACTTGGGAGCTAGCATTTTTGTGCAGAGTGGAGTGCCAGGTTGAGATTTTCCAGGGTGCTTGAGGAGCGAGGAGGAAAAATAATCATAACCAAACAATGGTAATAGCTGGATTTCACTGAGCCCTTGATTTGCTTTGAGGGACAGTTATTATGTTTCATCTCATTCAGTTCCCATCTCCTCAGAGTTAGGTTCTGTTATCATCCCTGCTTTACAGAAGAGGAACTAGGGGTCAGAGACGTTAAGTTACCTACCCAAGGTCACACAGCTCTTAAGTAGTTGAAACTCACGTACTGTCCATTAGCTACCAGAGCCTATGTTCCCAACCACAGTGGGCTGGGGAGGCCTGAGGATTTCACCTATATATTAAACTTTGTAAGGTGGGCAGGGCTTTCTCCTGCTGGTGAGCTTGGGAACAAGGAGCCATCCCAGACAGGGAACCTCGTGGACAGAGGCAGTGAAGACAGTTTAAGGAGGCACGAGAAGGCCTTGTGACTGCCAAGCCCTGCCCCCCACCTGCTGAGATGTCTTGGGAAGGGGAGCATGTGTGGTCATTTGCTGGATGTTCACCCCACCCTCGCCCAGGACACACATCACAGCCAGTCGGAGGCTGCTGCCTTTGTTCTTATGGCCTCAGTGGCATTGTTCTCACCCATTTGGGTTCCCTAGTCCTTACGGTATTTGTGACTCAGGGACACATGCTGTCAGGATCAGGAAGGGAAAACTGACTGATAGCTCACTGTGGAATCTCCTGGGGAGTCTGAGAAGGCTGGGGGACCCAAGTGGGTGTGGGGAGCTAGCCCAGGCCCTGGCACTCCCAGGGTGAGTGGCGCCCCCTTCAGTGCCTCTCCCATGAGGAGGGTGAGGATGGCTCCCATCCTCTGTCCATGTCCATGGAAGTGTAGTCAGGGATCTAGAAGCAGATTAACAGCAACAGTCATTAGAAGTGCTTCACCTGGGGCACCTGGGTGGCTCAGTCGTTAAGTGTCTGCCTTCTGCTCAGGTCATGATCTCAGGGTCCTGGGATCGAGCCCCGCATCGGGTTCCCTGCTTGGTGGGGAGTCTGCTTCTCCTTCTCCCTCTGCCACTCCCTCCACCACCTGCTCATGCTCTCCCACCATCTCTCTTTCTTTCAAATAAATAATCTTTATTTAAAAAAAATAAAAAAGAAGGGCTTCACCTGCAGTAATGGAGGAGTGTGAGAGTTACTACAGACCTGGGCCGGAAGGACCTAGGTTCAAATCCTACCTCTGCTGTGTAGGCTGGGAATTCTCAGGTGACTCACTATAGCTCCCTGAGCCTCAACTCAGACTGTGATGTGGAGCTGATGATGGCATTTATCTTCATGGTGATGGGAGGATTAATAAATGTACAGAGCACTGTCATGAGCCAGAGACTCTAGTGTTGGCTTTAGGAATGTTTTCCCTTGGATTCTCAAATAACCTGATAAAGTGAGAGAATTATTATACTGACAGGGGAGATTGAGGCTCAGAGAAATTAAATGGCTTCCCCAAGGTACACAGCAGGCCAAGTGTTGATTCAAGGGGTTGAATCCAAACTTGGGAGTCTGCTCCAGAGCTGTGGACATTTAATCCCTTTACCACAGTATGTGAAGCCCACAGTCCAGGGCAGGCACATGGGAAGGACCAGGGAGGCTCAGCTTTGGCTGCTGCTGTTCTTATTGTTGGAATTATCATCATGATTATTTCCCTGTTCCTCTGATGTCCCAGACCACTTACCATCTGCTCCCACGTCCGTGTCATTCTCCACTGTTTCCACCATGGAGGGCGTCTCTGTCAGCCATAGCTGCCTCCCCCTTAAGTCCAGCTCAGAGCTCGGTCCTCAAGAAGCCTTAGTGATTCAGGGCTGGACGTCTGTGCACCCTCACCAGAGACTAAGTTACAGGCTCTGATCCCACGCAATAGCCGTAGAGCACATAATGCTACTGTGTTTGTCTTTCCAGGCACTGCTGACCTTCAAAGATGTGGTTGTCACCTTCACTCAGGAGGAGTGGGAATTATTGGACCTGCCCCAGAGGACACTGTACTGGAAGGTGATGAGGGAGACCTGCAGGCTCCTGGTCTCACTGGGTAAGTCTTCTCCTTGCCTCCATGCAGGGACATGCAGCCTCCTCCTTGGTTTCTTCCTGTCTTTTGAGGCCTGGCTGGTGGAAGAGGCCTTTGGAGCAGCGTGCCTTCCTCCCCATGGTCCCTGCCATGTTCTGGGCTCACTTCCTCCTGCCTGCTCTCCCTTTGTCTCCATCAGGAATCACCAAGATGGTTGCTCTTCCCTTTTTGATTTGTCAGATTTTTTTTTTGTATATTCCTGACTGCAGTTGTATTCTATTGGAGCTTAGCTTTTTAGAAATTTTCTTTAAAGCATCTTTTGATTAAAAGAAATTCATATTTTATTTAGTCAGAACAATTTATCTTTTGTTTTATGATTACTGCTTTTCATGTCTTGCTAGGAAATCTTCCTCACACCAAGGTCAAATTATATTTTCTGTTGCTTACTAACCTGGAATTAGCTTTGTGTATGACAGGCGGTAGAAATGCAAGAATTTTTTCCTGCATGTAGGTTACCAGTTTTTCAGCTGCATTGGTTATTTAGTCCCTTTTTTTCCCACTGATCTGCTGTGCCACCTCTGCAGTCTGTGAAAGCTGTATGTATTCATAAGTCTGTTTCTGAGCACTGTTGTGTCCTGTTGCCAGTTTTCCTTACGTCTGTGCCAACACCATGCTGTCTTGATGTCTCTACTTTCATCATAACCCTAATACTGGGAGGGCAAGCCCCATCTCCTTATTATTCTTTCTTCAGTGATATTCTTAGCCTTTAACATAGATATAAATTCTAGAATCAACTTGTTGAGTTTCATGGAAAATCATGTTATCTGGACTGGTGATGAATTTACAGATAGATTTGAGGAGAGTTGACAACCTTGTTATTAACTTCTCCATTTGTACAGCTTCTCTTTAATATTTGAAGTAAATAATTCAAATTTCTCTACTAGCTTTTGTCTGTGTTTTAGTCACCTAGCTGTTTCTTACACACAGTAGATTTAATATGTCTCCCTGACAAGTCCTGCTCACCCTCAGCCTTGTAGACACTGTCCTGGGAGTGGCAATGGCTGTACTTACTCTCACCCTTCCGAACTCTGGAGGCTGCACCCTGTCTGCATCTCCAGCCACATCTCCACCATCCTCTCATGCTCTGAAGTTCCCTCAGCATCCAGGATTCTCTCTAGACTCTGCACCTCTGTACACTCTGCCTCCTTTGGCTGCAGGACCCTCTCACTTTCTCTATGTGGTAACTCTTGCTTCGTTAGGACTCAGATCTCAAGACCCCTCCCAGTTGTCTTTCTCTCATTCGGGCTGGGTTAGATGCCCCCTTCCCTGTGTTCCCTGTGACATCCTTTCTTAGAACAAACACAGCACATGGTGTCATCATTTCTCTCCCCTCTGGATAGTAAGGAAGGGATTCTTCTCTGGCCCCTACCCGAAATTCTCCCCAAAGTTGTCCCTTTAAAGATGTCAAGAATTCAAGGACCAGCAAAAAAAAAAAAAAAAACAAAGCTGAGTTTCAGAGATGTGAAAATCCAGCAGGTATCAGTGGCCCTGTTTCCATCTTCCTTTTCCCACTGGCTTGGTGATTTTGTTCCTTCTATGTTGGCATTGTTAATGGGACTCTTTTGTGTATTGGATTCCCTTCAGATGACAAAGCAAAAACCAATACCACAGAGCCTTCTGCTTCTCAGCCAGGCTTGTTTGAGGGATGCTCACCCCACAGGTTACTGACTGAGGACGACTCCAGTGTTTCCACATTGGGAGAAGCCGGGGAACAAGAGAGACCATCAGAAAAACAGGGAGGGTACCTAAGGACAGGGACAGTCCCCTACAAGGAAACCCTCCCTGGAAAGTTGAACCCTGAATGTGATGATTTGGGAACAGGTAAAAATCTGTGCACAAAAGATTTACAGGAGCAAGTCTCTCCAGGAGATGCTCTCCTTGAGTGTGAATCACATAGATCAAGGAGAGACCCCTTGATTCATGGAGGGAAGAAATCCTACAAATGCAAGGAATGTGGGAAAGAGTTTATCAAGAATCACTTCCTTCTTCAACATCAGTGGATTCACACTAGAGTAAAATCCTATAAATGCAAAAAGTGTGGGAAGGCCTTTCTCAGGAAGGCAGATCTCACTGGACACTACAGCATTCACATTAAGAAGCTCTATGAGTGCATCGAGTGTGAGAAGGCCTTCAGCCGCAGGTCACACCTCACAGAACACCAGCGGATTCACACTGGGGAGAAGCCCTATGTGTGCATCGAATGCAGGAAGGCCTTCAGCCGCAGGTCACACCTCACTGAGCACCAGCGGATTCATAGTGGAGAGAAGCCTCATGTGTGCAGTGAATGTGGAAAGGCCTTTGCCCGCCACTCTGATTTTATTAGGCATAATAGAACCCACACTGGAGAAAAACCCTTTGAGTGCAAAGAATGTGGGAAAGCCTTTTGTAACAGCTTTTCTGTAACTCGACACATGAGGTGTCATTCTGGGGAGAAGCTCTATGAGTGCAATGAGTGTGGAAAGACCTACAGCTACAGCTCAACCCTCACTACTCATCAAAAGATTCATAGTGGAGTAAAATCCTACAAGTGTAAGAGATGTGGGAAGGTCTTTGACCAGAAGGCAGGCCTCAGTCAACATCAGAGAACTCATACTGAGTTCTTCTTAAAGGGACCTTCTTAAAGTAACTACAGTGGCAAATTGTTTGACCGGAGGGAAAATGTAACTTGGCATCTGAGAGTTCATATCCAAGGCTTCCCTGCATACCGTGTCCTCCTTCATGTGCACAGTTTTGTGCTATGGCTGTGGCATTACCTTTACCTGTGGCTGAGCACTGACACTACAGAGACTAGAGGCCACTCTCCCAAAACACAACGTGGTTCTCAGCAGAGGGACCTTCTTTCCACGCCTGAGAGTGCTTTGCTGTCATGTGGCCTGCAAAGAGACCTGAGCCTCAGTTTGTCCCAAAGCAGAAGCGATGTGCTTTGCAGTGGTTGAAGGGCCCTCTTCCCTCATGGTCCATGTCTCCCCATCCACCTTTCTGTGTTTACAGGGGCCTGCTATGCTCTTGCTGGTATGATGGGCAGGAGTCACGAGAACCCCATCCTTTGTGCCCATTACCCCGCATGTGCCCTGTGTCATGGAAATACATGGGTGACTGAGACTTGGGCCTTGCTGTCTAGAAGGGAAAAACACGTGGTAATACAGAGGTGTGGTATAGCAACTCTGCTGCTAGACAGTAATGTGCCCATAGGCCCTGCGTGGCATAATCAGGGTCAAAACTTAGGCATGGAGGACAGATGTCCTTTGGGAAGAGTGGTCCAGTGACTAAGGGCTTGGGCCCTCGGGACAGTTGGAATTCCAGCACTTCCAAGCTGTGCCCATCACCACCTGGGTGACCTCAGTCATGTCACTTCCCCACAGGCCTGTCTTGTAAAAGTAGGAAGATGAACGTTAAACTGTAAAGCATGGTCAGAGGAGCAGACAGTACCCAAAGGGTAAGATCATGCAGACCCATGAAGGATGGAGGAGCCCCAGCTATGTTCGAAGATAAGAAAGAACATTTTTGGCAAAGGAACAGCATGTACCAAAACCCTGAGGCAGGCAAGAACTGGCCTTATTAGAGGAAACAGCTGAAGGCCAGTGTGTCTGGAGGAAATGAGTGGTGAGCACTGAGATGGACAGAACAGGGCCAGATGCACAGGGCTTTGTGGGTTTTATTCTGACTGTTCTGGGAGGCTGAGGAAGGGATTCAGCAGGGCAGTGGCATGATCTTGTCTCTAAATTTGCCCTTGGCTGCTGTGTGGAGAGTGTACTGAAGAGGGAATAATTGATGTGGGAGAGAGAAATGAGGCCACTGGGTGGTCCAGGGGTACATTGTTATTGGACTGGCCCCTGATGGTGGCAATGGAGTTGGTTTGGGAGAAGATGACTTGGGACATGTTCGGAGGCAGAGCCAACAGAACATGTGCATAATTAGGATGATGGGTGAGCCCCAGGGAATGACTTTCCCTCCTCAGTCCTCAAGAGAGAGCCCTTTGCATCCATGGGAATGTGACATGGCCTGTCATTATGTTCCAGGTTTTCAGTCAGCACCTAGTGTGTTGAGTGAGTAAGTGAAGCTGAAGATTCCCTTTCTTGGACAGAAAAAGGCAGAACTCCTTCTCCCCTTGATGGTTCACATGGGCAGTGAATTTGCCATGCCTTTATTTCTGTGATGCTGAGGGGCCCTGGCCCTGCCCAGATGGGATGAATTTGAGCAGGAAGCCATGCAGGGCTGATGAGCACCCTTCTCAGCTGTGCTTCTTACTAGTGGCCATGACAGCACAACTCAGGGACTTTTTGGGTTCTTGGTCTCTTCCTCTGTAAACTGGGTGATCTAATATCCTCTGTGAGTCTCAGCTTCATTATCTATGAAACAAGACTGTTGACTGACGCACCTCACCAAGTGGTTATGCAGGTTAAAGGATAGTGTTGAAAAGTGCGTGGTGTCAGCTTTGTGGATATTCTTAAGTGTTAGCTCTTGTTAAAATTATTTTCACTAATGTTACCCCTTCATGCCATCCTATTCCTTTCTCATCAGGAGATGTGCTGATGGGATTTGTTTGTAAAAATATACTGCAGGTCCTGATGTCGTCTCAGCTGATTTTAGACCTTAAGATGCTTGATTATAGATTTTGGCGACCCTCAGCATAAGGTCTTGGTTCCCCAGCAACCAATGCCAGGACGTTCTTTGCTCCCTGGTGTCTTTCCCTGGTGGAGATGGGGTGGCTGAGGATGCCAGAGAATGTTCTTTGAATGGAAATTCAAAACCTGCCCTTGAAATTTATTGATGAAGATTAAGTATCTTGTGAAGGGAGGTTTTAACCATCAGAAAGTACTGACTTAATTTATTTCATACTTACCTAATGTAATATTTTACATATTTGGATTTAAATATGTCCTCTTATTTTGTGGCTTTCTTTGCCTCGCTTGTTCTTTTTCTGGTCCTTAAAAAAAATAACTGCTACTTATAGTCCAGATTTTTAAAAAATTCTAGTTTAAAAAGCTTATTCTGTTTGTTATTGTTTAAGCTAAAATTTACAAACACTTACTTAAAAACAGTAGAGCACAAACTTATAAATGCTTTTCCTTCTTCTCAGGCAAAATAATGTACTTAGAAGTTTAACTAGTATGCTCTATCTCAGTATATGTGTTGAGATTATGCATGTTAATTCCATCAATCTGACTGCAAAAGGAAATGTTATTCATGTTTAATGCAGATAATGAGCAGATGTATCAATCCACATATGCATCCCCCTCTTGGGTCCCCATTCCTTCTATCATTGTAAATATTTCATCTGAGATTACTTTCCAAAGTTCTTAAATATAACCTTTAGAATTTCATTTTATATGTGTTAATCTTCCATTAAATTCATTTTTGGTTTGAAATAGTCTTATTTTGTACTTTTTTTTTTTTTAAACAAATAGGTTCTGATGCGGTTTTTTTTTTAAAGATTTTATTTATTTATTTGAGAGAGAGAATGAGAGAGAGAGCATGAGAGGGGGGAGGGTCAGAGGGAGAAGCAGACTCCCCACTGAGCAGGGAGCCCGATGCGGGACTCAATCTTGGGACTCCAGGATCATGACCTGAGCCGAAGGCAGTTGCTTAACCAACTGAGCCACCCAGGCGCCCTGTACTCTTTCTTGAAAGACAGTTTTGACATATATAGAAATCTAGGTTGGCATGGTTTTTTTCTTCAGCAGATCCTTGAATAGGTCCTTCTAAGTGTCACAGAACCATAATTATATAGGGAGTGAGTGGCAACAAGTAACTTACTTTGTGTATGGTTTTAAGTTAAGAATAGAAGTATTAGGGGTGTCTGGCTGACTCAGTCAGTAGAACATAAGACTCTTGATCCCAGGGTTCTGAGTTTGAGCCCCAGGTTGGGTGTAGGGATTACTTAAAATCTTAAAAAAAAAAAAGAATATAAATATTAACATTAAGATGGAGGCATGGAGTTTTGGGTCATCACCCAAAGGGTAGTAGTGTTGAATATGTAGGAAGAATAATAAAATGGATATCTGATGAATAGAAAGTGGGTAGATGCTCTCCGATCCAGTTTTCCCTTTATGGACACACAGCTTCATTTACATGAGCCATGTAAATGAGTTTGGGGCAATGAAATATAGGCAGAAGTTATTATGAAACTATACCTTCATTATGTTTTCTCATTTGTGCTCCTCCACAGGGATATCTTCTCCAGCCTCAGTGATTTCAGTTTGCACACACCTCCCCAGGATTTAGCTGCAGGTTCAGGCATGGACTGAGGCCCTTCTGGACGCATTTTTAACATATTCCCGTGTGATGCTATTGCTACTGGTTTGGGAACCACTGGATTAGAGCACTATTTAATGTCAGTACACAATGTGCTGCAAGTTATCTCCATATCACCTATTTTTAAGCCTTTTAAATGTTATTTTTTTATATAGTATTGTTAACCATAGTCACCATGCTGCATATTTCATCCCCAGGACTTATTTTATTTTATGGTTTTTAAGTATATTTTTTTCCTCAGCGGTTGAGGAGGCTTGCCTAAGGCCACTAAGGAGAAGTCTCCTATTACAGCTCTCCCAGGATGGGGCTTCGCCCAAGGTGGCCACAGAAATCTGGGCATGGTCCTTGTATTTGGAGCCCTAGAGCAGTATTTCCCAAGGTCCCTCGCAGGTCTGTTGGGCCAGGGTTGTGGAGAATGGGAAAGGCCCATCCTAACCTGTTCACGTGCAAGACAGAAACTACATTACCCAGCAGGCCGTGCCTCGTGCGTGGGCGGCAGTCACTCGTCCAATAACAACCCAGCAGTGAGGTGTTCCCCGGCGGGAGTGGTGGGGGGACTTCTGATGATGTCATAGAGGCTGTGGTGGGACTTCAGATGACGTCACAGAAGCTGTGGTGGGTCTGTGCCTGTTGGCTGAACAGGAGGGAAGGAAGGAGGGTAGGACCCACCTGTGCGCTTTTGTGTGAGCAGTGACCCTAACCTGGCCCCGCACTCTCCCGGCCCCACACCAGTCCTCCGTCCTCCGGGTGCCTGGAGGCGGCACCCTCGGCCTTGAGTGCCTTTTACGGGAGAGCCGCTGGGGCTGGGAGTGCGGGCCGCCGTGGTCACGTCCCGCCTGGGGCCTGGCAAGATGGGAGTGGACTAAACTTGAAGGGCCCGGCCGGTCCCACCCAGTGCACAGGGCCAGTGGACGGCAGCTGCTGGGACCCTCGCCCTGCTGGTCTCAGAGCCCCGATATAGAGGATCCTGTGACCTAGAGCTTCTCGCTCTCCCCTCTGCCCGCCTCTGCGTTTGGGCTCCTGGAGGCGAGTCGCTCTTGGCCCAAGGCCCTTAATCGAGACCCGGAATTGCATGGAGCACTTCCCGTTTCTGGAACCCGGTAGGATGGCGTAAGGACGGTTTTCCAGTTACAAGAAGCATGAACATATGCTTGGACGTGGTACTGAACTGGGAACGTTTGCAAACGCAGGTCCACACAGTGTCTTTTACGGTTCCATACAAATTTTAGAATTGTTGTTCTAATTCTATGGAAAATGCCTTTGAAATGTTGATAGGGATTGTGTTGAATCTGTCGATTGCTTTGGGTAATATGGACAATTTAACAGCATTATTTCTTCCAATCTATTAGCATAGAACATCTTTCCA